TGGGCGTTCCTTATGCCAAAAAATTGTGCTGCACCTAGACTACTGTTAATCAGTCTTTCGTAAGTCCATTTTTCTACATGGACAACCCGTATATACATTAGCGTCCGCATTATAGCTTATTTTGACTCGACCTTTTAGGGTCACTCGCAACATTCCAAAACACATAGAGGGAGGACATCAACTGCTATCATTAACCGGCATCCTCGAGCAACCAGGTAATGATATCGAAGCACCAGGATCCAGAGCACTCACCCTTCAAAAACTCATATGGTAGTGAAGCCCCAATCCTCATTAGGATGTCTCTTTCTAACATGATGAGAATCCAACACCATACCCGCACACAAACTCCTCAACTCTTATGCCTGGAACTTTGAAGCACAACTCGGCTTGCAACCACAAGAGCAACACTAGGCTTAAAACAATATATTTAAATTACGGTCATATTTTCGATTGCGTTGTGTTTGTCGTGATTATAGAAATAACGGAAAATATTGCAGTAATCGCGATTGTGAATTTTTTTTTAATTTTGCACAATTCATTATAAAATGTAATAATTATAATAATAATAATCATAAAAACTCTTATTTTATAATTTTTAAAATAATTTATGACACTTTATATTTTATTTTTTAAAAAAAATTATTCATAATTTTTTAAAAATTAGAACAATGAATTTATATTTTATTTTGTAGCAAATTTTTGCTAGAGAGAAAATCATATTCAATATTATAACAAAGTTACAAAAATTTATATTTCCCTTCACCTATTCAACCCCTCCAAACGTACCCTTCCAATTAGCCCACCAATTTATCAAACCCACTCACTCCACATCCCTCCAAATTTCCTATTCCTTTTTTTTTTATGTGAAGTCTTCATTTCCTTTTGGCTTTCACCCACTCACCCACCCCAACCCTTCTACCTTAGCCTTCAATTTAGTGTCCTGTGCTCACACACTCCAACTTCCATTCCTCCAAGATCTAGCCTTTCTTCTTCACTCTTTTTATTCTTGTCTTTCTCACAAAGACCTAAACTCAAAAATTAATAAATCAGTAAAATCCTCCCCTCTCTACCTCTCTTGATTGACTCTCCGATCTCTACCTTATTCCTTCACCACCAATTTCACTACACATTCAACTCACAACCTGCAGCCCATAGCCTTTTGGTCTCCCAATTACAAATCGATCATCAGAGATTTTTTTTCGACAGCAATTTGCAACAAGCTAGCAAATTTTTTTTAAAAAAAGGTAATTTTAACTTACTCTTACCTTTAAATTGATTGTCTTTCAACACTTGTTCTTGGTTGAGGATGAATTTGGGTGAATTGAGTTGATTTAATTGATTTTTTTCTTTTAAAAATAAGAAATATGGACGAAAAATTGGAATAATGCCAATAGCGGACCATTATTTTCACTATTGCCCATTATGGTGTTCTGTTGTAGACGCAATGCACCGTTTTGAGTGAGTTTCAAATTCATAATCATTTTTTTTTAAATAGTGGTAACGGCCGAAAGCGCTACCACAAAATAACGACCACTATTCCACTATTATGCTACTATTTAATTCCATGCTCAATACATCACTTAGCCTCACATTAGACTGGTTACACACATGACGGACACCTAGCATCATTATCACATCTCATTAAGTGTTCAAGTGTGCTGCTAGCACACTTCCACACATGCTATCGAGTAACCAGTAAGGGTCTAATAGCTTGTTTACCTATTAGCCTATTTTTCTCTTAGCCTTATTGGTACCCTTTTTATACAAGCACTAACCAATGATCTTTGGCTACTCATTAGTCGACTCATAGTGGGGAAACCAAGGGGCATAATGAATGCTAATACCCATCCCCATGGTTCAGCACATAAGCATGATACAAAGCTCGTTGGCCTCGACCATCCCCTAGTTTACCGTGTCCCAAAGAGACACCATGCCATGCTTTTAACCTTATGATAACTACTTACCTAAACACCAAGTGTGATTAAGAATTGCTCACTTTAGACTAACAAGTCCTTATCTACCTATTATCCAAAATGATGGTGGAAAGTTGATGCCAAACATTCCCTACAAAGAGCATAGAAACATTTAGAAGTTTGTAACCAAAAACATTCAAATGTTTGAAATGGTAACACTTTTTTTCCTAAACCAATCCAAGCGGTACTCAATCCAACTTAATGCACGATGATCTTTTAATTAATCCCAATAATGCTAGAATAAGCCTCATTGCTCTACCAACCCATTCAAACATGTTCGCACAAAGCTCACACGTGAATGTCCCACCAGGCTTTTAAGCTCCAAGGTGATCGCATATCTGTTTAGCTTTATAGTTCATGTTGCCCACCCACTGCTTCAAGATAACCATCTTATGCACAAGGTCTTATTTGTTGTTCTGTAATGGGATAGTTATGGCAACACTAAAACACACCAAAACTTGTCTACGATACCAAGCATATTAATCAAAGGCTCTTTTGTCTTATAGTACATTTGGTTCAAGGATTTTTAAATTTTGGATGAGAAAGTGATTTTGAAGAAAAAGTGATATTAAAAGGGAATATGTGATTTTTTAGTTTTGTTGACCAAGGAAATGTAAGGTTTTTTTGTTTGGATTAGAAAAATGTAAGATTACCCAATAAAATGTCTTACTATATTGCCCATGATGACATATGAATATTACACGACAACTTAATAACATGTGAATAATACGTAACATTCATAACATGTTACATGTGAATAATATGTTGTCTTTGTTGAAATTAAAAAATTTTGAAAAATAATTTTTTTATATGTTCAACAAAGATAATTTTACAATCCTAATTACTATGCTAACATTGATTGTTGCTACATAGAGAAATACGTGGATTGACCTTCGTGATAAGGTCGGAATGGGCATTTGTAAGGGTGGTAAACCCTTTTTCTAAAGTGTCCCAAAACTAATTTTATATGTAATAATATTAAATAAATGTATTTCAAATTTTATATGTAATAGTATTATAATTAGAAATAAGGATTACATTTGTTTATCTTAAAATGTTATCTTTGTTGAAACTATAGAATTATGAAAATATAATTTCAATATTTACTACATTTTTTTATTTTAAAAGCACAATACTTGTTGGAACTATATAATTATGAAAATATAGTTTTAACATACACCAAGTTTTTTATCTTAAAAATATAGTTTTTGTTAAAATTTTAGAATTTTGAAAATTTATTTTCAACATCTACTATGTTTTTTATCATAAAAAAATCTTTGTTGAAATTACAGAATTTTTAAAATATAGTTTCAACATTCACAGCATTGTTTTTTTAACAAATTGATTTTTTTTTTTAAATTTCAAATTTTCAAAAATATATTTTTAAAATCCACTATATTTTATCTTAAAAACGCAATCTTTGTTAAAATTATAGAATTTTGAAAAATAGTTTCAATATCTATTATATTTTTTATCTTAATAATGTGGTCTTTGTTAAAATTCTAAAATCTACATCTTTATCTTAAAAATGAGATCGTTATTAAAATTATAGAATTTTGAAAATCTAATTTTAACATTCACTACATTTTTTATTATAAAAATGAGATTTTTGTTAAAATTTTAGAATTTCAAAAATATATTTTAAACATTCACTACATTTTTATCTTAAAAATGCAATACTTGTTGAAATTATAAATAATAAAAATTACATTTACCTTGTAATTTTAGGAGATTAAAAAGGATAATATAGTCTGAAAGTGCAATTAAGTAAGAACAAATAGGGTAAAATTTTCACTGTCCTTTCAGAATTTAAAAAACAAACCTTTGAAAGATGAAAGTTTTTTTGTTCACCTTATTTTTTTTCCTTTTTAATATTGTTGGAAATATTAAAAAATATCATAAATCACATTATGTGAACTAAATTGAGGAATCAAACTACAAAAAATAAAATTTTGACAAAAATCTTACTTTTCTTCAAGCCAAATGCCCCTAAAAACTTTTGAATAATGCCATCCACATGCAAGTTTATATGTATACATGGATGAGGACTAAAAACATTCCAAAACATTAACACAAGATAAATAAAAGAATTTATATTTAATACATTGTTAGTGTACAAATCACTATATATTATTAGTGAATTAGATGATACCACTTTATTAATGAGTAAATATTAACTTTTAAAATAAATATATAAAATACTAATATTCTTTTAAAAACTTAATAATGAAGTGAAATAATTTGATCCACCTCATTAATGAGATAAAATCATCTAATTCACTGATAGTATAATATATATATTAACAATGCAACAAATATAAATTCTAAATAAAAACCCCTCTTTTAATTTCAAACTTTTCTATTCTTTATCTATTATTTCAACAATATTAATTTGCAAGTTATCGACGGCCAACTATCTTGTTCTCCATTTTTACCTCCTAATTCATAAAACCTTTAATCCCACCTCATATTATATATTATCGCTATTTTTTATTTTTCTATGATACAATTAGCCAATTACTACTATTTGCTCAAACTTTTCTTTTCAACATAGAAGTTCTATGAACTAATACGAGGCATTTTTGTATTATCTTCTTATAACCAAAAAAAAAAAAAAGACGAGACGAGACATTAGAAGGAGCCCAATCAAGAATGTGGGGTTGGATAACTTGGGTTCAATGGTTTGCCTGTAGCCGATGAAGATTGTCCTATGGGTTGAGAAACGTTCTATTTCGGACCCACGGGAAAACAAAAGGCTTGAACTGGACGTATTACTCCCACCTTCTCCCCAGTGTTGCCAGCCCTCTTTAATATGTCACATGTCTTCGGCCCATAAATTTTCATTACTTAATAAATCAACGATAGCCTGATCCTGCTTTCTCTCCATCTTTTACCCACTGTTACCTGTCCTCTTTAATATGTCCTGTGTTACACAGAAATTTACTTAAATTCAGAATTCAAAAAAGTATCTGTGTTCTATAAGATTATTATAACTAATTAGACTGTAACGCTGGCTTGAAATCCCCATGCAATATTTGGCGCCGCTGCCCTCTTAAAGTTTGGTTGAAGTTTTGATGTGGACTAGATTGCCATAGTTCTTTTGGGTGATTTAAACATGATGTTCTTGGGACTGTCAAGCCTTAATTTTTCCACTTTTTCCTTCCTCTTTCTGCAGAAATTTGTAGCTACTTTGTAATATTAATAAGGATGTTTTTGTTACTGCAAGTTTCAACTTTTTCATATACCAATCTTTTTCGCAATGCCGAAAAGAGGAAATGACACCATGAATCAATTAGCTTTAGTTTAGAATTAATAAGCTTCTGCTGATAAAGACACGGAGAGTATGGATCTACAAGTTCTGTCATTAATTTAGCTGCAGATTCAGGATCTAGAATTAACTATTAAGGCATTAGCTTTTACCAAGGAATTGGGTTTTGAGATATTGCAGCACCCTACTTCTAGCTTCATAAAACAAACAATCAAAATGTCACAAGTTTATCAGCATTTTCATGGGACAGAATGAAACTTCTGCATCTAACTTAGAGCTGGAGTACATGATCTAATAAGGAACATAAAACATTCTGTTAACCTAGCTAGTTCTCAGAATCATCATCAGCCAATGAAACCTTGCTTAGCCTGCTTGGTAATGATCTAGCATCATTGCTTCTGACCTTTCTGCTTCCTGTGCCGCGGCTGCTGCTTGAGCCATAAACTGCTCTATGTGCAAGTGCTTTACTGAATTGGAACTTAGCTGATTCATGGCTAGATGCTGATCGCTCTGTGGAATTCTCTTCAGTGCTGTAAGTCTGGGTGTCCAAGGTCTGATCAGCATTGGCTTTCTCAGTTGCCATTTTATGCTTTTCCTTTCTCAATGATGGGAACGAGTTTTTGGGGAGGAAAGAAAGGCAGCTGGAAGATGCATGGAAATAGGGCAAGCATCTGGTTTTTTATAGAGTATAGTAAAAAGAAAAGATGACTAAAGAGCGCATCTGTCTTTTTGAGAGCTTACCCCTGATGATGGTGATGGAATCTGAGGCTGGGAAAAAGAAATGCTTCAAGCAAACATTTTTTTTGCCGAAAGAGAGAGAAAATCTCTTTTACCAACAAAGAAGTTATTAGTGTCTTTGAGTGGAAGAAAATAAATATACCATAGTAGAAAAACCTTTAATCACTTGAACCAATCATCATTCATTGAAAATATTTAATGATTATTTGCTAGGCATGTTGAAAGGAAAAATCCAGTGCTGCATATCATCCAATGATTGACAAAGGTAATATCAAGGGATCCCAAAAATTCAACGATTGGTCCGAAGTCAGTCATTCTAGTACGGCAAATCAACCTTTGGTAAATCTTTGTTAATGCTATTACAGTGAATATCAGACGAAATAATGTTCCTCAGCTTAAGCCATGTGAACTTCCTTGCTTTTTGGACTAACACTTTTGTCGCCTAACATGAATAGTAAGAAGCCGCAGCCCGCAAGCATAAAGCTTTTGCTTTATGATTCCCACCCATTTTTTCCTATTGAAAAGAAATAAGAATGAGCTATTATTGAAAGATTTTTGTTGTCTCTACCTCGAAACACCTTTTAAGCTTGCGATGAAATGGCTTCCTACATAATCATGTTCCAATCCTACAATCCAACAGCCCAGCACAAGCACCTTCAGTCTTGGCAGCATATAGCTAGACATTTTCAAGAGAAATTTTATGTAAAATCCCATAAGGTTGGAGACCAACTTTCAATTGTGGGTAGTTCCCGCCATGTTCGTGCTCGTCCTATCCTTTGTTTATTTTACAGATTAGAAAAACATCCAATCGAAGGTCAGAGTTCCGTCACCTGATCAGATCAGGGAAAGGCTGCTATAAATTTTTACAGTGCCAAAACAAAAAATTATGCTCGAAATTTTTAAAAGTGCAGTTGATGTTCAAGAGTAATGTATCCTAGCACAAGTGTAGCAAAATATATACATGGGTAACAAACATATCAGACGTTTTGACTCTATATTTCATTTTTTTTTCCTAGAGTTTTACATATATGCCTTTCATGTGCAAAAAACCGCCAACAAGGCACCAAAATAAGATCTCGAGCAATACAAATGCGAGGGTACCCCACTTGCTTGAATGAAGCATGGCCTGTAACAATGATTCCATGCCATCAACCTACATTTCATGATAACACTTATAAGTCTATCAAACAGATAAATCGACAAAGCAAACCATTGCACTGATTATGTCTTACACTCGAAATATCAACTTTAGAAATAGCATGCAATGTCCAAGCAGTGTTTTCATCCAGTAACTTATACATATTTTCAGCGTCAAGCTTGATGACAACTTTCACATGAAAGAAAAAGAACATTAGCTTGCAGATGTTCAGTAGAAATTGCATGCAATGTGCAAGCAGTGTTTTCAAGTTACACCATGACTTCCTAAAAGAAGTCAAGAGATGATAATTATAATGCAGATCTTCAGTAGTGCATTCTTAAGTAAAAGCTCTGTCAAGCTTGCAGTTTTCTACCTATCCTTATGTAAATTATTGCAAAGAGAGCAAGGATATGAAACTAGGAACCCAGAAGAGAAAACAGAGAGATACCAAGTTATTTTCTGGTGAACCCCAATAGAAACCTTGAACAGCTGCTGGAAAAATATCGCAAGCAGCCAAAGCATATATTATGAGAGCATTCATTCCCATCCACTGAAGTAACACCACAGGTTTTCCAAAATGTTTGACATCTACCTGCAACAAATACAGTCAAACAACTGCCCTTAGTTGCATTCCTTATTACTTCAGAAATATAATCTCGTTTACAGAAGGCCTTAGGCCAGCAATGCAATCATTCACGTTATTAGCATAAAACATAGTTCAACTGTACTAAGATATCTTTTGCACTTACAACAAACCTTATATAGCACTGAAAAGCCCACAAAACCAAACAAAGAAAAAAGGCCTAGAATTGCTTTGGCTATATACCTTCATGAACTTCCAAGAGGAATAGAAAGGGGATCTGAGAAAATCAATCTCTAGGTCACATTAATAGGTTTCAGTAAGTAAAAACTTTTGCAGGTTCCAAAGATGTATAGTGACTAAGCCAAAATATTGATTTACTGAAGAAGGAAATTTGGCTCATAATAGCCTTCTACTAGTCAAAGAATTTTCCTTTTATAACCAGGCATTGCCTATTCTCACATCAATTAAGTTTTCCAATAAAATCAATTTGAGAACCTGCTATGATGTCATTTATACTCAGACTTTCTAAACTGTCTAAGCTATTTCAAATTTTAAATTCTGACCGAAAGAAATCCAAGATGGATGGATCTGTGTTTCCTTCAAGATTGCCTTCAGTCTTGCGAATAGCATTTTAGAAAGCAATTGTGATGGCTTCCTTCAATAATGATTGGATTGAAATGTTTTATAATTTGATAAGAACAATAGCCTTCAGGATGAATCAGGTAAAATATATCTTTTACAAACATGAAATGGGATTTTGTAGCACTAAACATTAGGATGACAAGCAAATCACTAAAAGATGAACTTACTATGTAAAAGATAATGGTTAAGATCAAGGTAGATGCTCCTGCAGTGATGCACATATAGCTCAACGTGTACAGTGGTTTGGAGAAAGGAATGCCTGTTACACTACCAGTCAGCAATTGGACAAAACAAACTGGAAACTTCAAGAAAATCATATGCTGACTGTATTTTCATATGAGAGAAAATCATATATTGAACCAGCTAGTTATGTGAGACAACTTGCCTAGCACTTCCAAACCCAATCCTGAAATTAGTAACGTAAAGGAAGACATAGACCACACAAGCACTCTATGCATCTGCCCCTGCAGAAAATATTTTTAAAGCTCATTCAGAATATAGCACACAATATCATTAGCATAATCCCTTTTTGTGGCGAGCAAGGTTCATGATTAGATTAGCCGATAGATGCAGACATCCTACATAACAATAAGAAGAATGATACCTTACAATGCAGAAGTATATGTCCAAAATGCAATCCAGCAAAACAAGTGAGGACAGCCATTAATGAACTGCAGAAATTCCTCAAGGGAAAAAGCAAGAATTGCAATTATATTACCGAGTAATAAGAAGGGCATATTAAAGATCTTCAGTTGTGTGTAACGTTGAGAATAAATTACATAAGGAGTAGTCTTTACATCATTGATGATCATAATTAACAGCAATTGTGAAAAATTAAATATAAGATCAAAGAAGAAGGTGATCATCTAACCTTAAGATGCCCTCAGGATCAAACGGAGCAAGACACCATTCAGGTGAATCTGGTGGCAGAGGCCCATAGTCAGGAGAATTAACACTGCATTCCTGTGAATGAAAAAGGGTAATTGACCTATTTAGACTTTAAAACAGGGTGTTCCAAAAGTCAGCAGCAGAAGTACAACACAAAAGAGCAATAATGGAATAACCTTTGTTCTTCTGTACACAGGATGCCGATATAGATGTTCTTCACCCAGAAAATACCGATCGATATAGCCAACTGCATTGCATGGAGGTTCAAGACTCCCCTTGACTCCACACTGTACCTATTGAAAAAACATCATAGTCTCAGTAAGTTCCATGCGGAAAAGGAAAGGCACAAGTACAAACTAGAATTTAAGCTTGATAACAGAGTTTATTAGCTTCTGATAGATATATTCACAAGACTACAACAGAATACATCCAAAATTACTAATTTTCTTATCCCAAAAGCTATGGTTTCAATAAGTTTGCTTCATAATCTTATTTACCTATTATCAAGATTAAATCTAGTAGTAAATTCTCAAATCATACATTTATATTCCAATGACGTAATTTGTTTCTTTTTCTCTATAAAAGAAAGGCAAATTGAAATACAATTCAGCAGCCTTTGGCTTCCAATAATATATGAAATGTTTACCAGATATGTTCATAACATTTGCTATAAAAGTTAAGTTCAATTAGTGTTTAATTCTATAGCCCCTGAAACAAGAATATTATAGAAGGCATGTTTAAACAAAACTATTTTCTTGCATTTATGGAAAAGAGTACATGGCAATATGATAGCACAGTAAAAGATAGGGCACTTCAACTGAAAGTAACATCTACAGATCAGCACATCCACTAATAAAATATATCTTAATCCTAACAACAATATTCACCAATAAAAAATGCAAGTAGTCACGTCAAACAACTTACTGATATTCAACTTGAAAATCTCAATTGTAAACATTAAACTGCAAACTGACAAAACCTTGACAGTAAGTGCCACAGAATAAATACATAATTTAACTCACAATTTGAGCATGGGATCCATTCGTGGACAGGTTCAGGCTTGGAGGTTGAAATTCCCAGTTTGGAACATAAAGGCCATAGAGCAAGCACATGTAAAATGATAATAGTAGGGTAGCAACAATCCTGCACAAATAGAAATGGTAAAAGTTGTTATTATAGCTTTCAAAATTCTATAAATCAAAGTAGATACGTCAACATAAATCAAAACCAAAAGGAGGGAAAATCTCTACAAAGATTTCAATAAGCATGGTGTTTCCTAACCACTGAACAAAGTATTTCCTAACAAATGCTGCTGGAGAGTCAACCAAGACATTTTTAACAAGCCAGATTTCTGATATTGAAGCTAGCAGATATCCAATTGATATCCTCTGTAGACAATAAAGCACGAAAATGATACAAATTAGCCTAATAAATCCATGAAAGTCAATATTCATACATTTAGTAAATGCAGCAGATTACATAATATTCCAATAATGAATTTGCCAACAATAATAGAAGAAATAATTTATGGAGGCAAAAGCAACTTATATTTAACAATTCAGCTGATGAAATATATCATTGAGTGCAGTGCTCCAGTGCAATGCAAAAGTCAATGAGCATGCACTAGACAAACAGTAAGGAGCATTGCATGCCTTAATTTGTTGAATAAACATTCAAGCATGTGACTGGAAAAATGATTCAAATAGCTGCCCTCCACATTGGAAAGACAATAATTTTGCATTAATTCCAAATTTAGTTCTATAAGGTCTTCTTTGTGATAAATAATATATTTAGCTCCAGTTTAGCATTTATCAAGCACATAGCACAATTCACATGAATAATTTGGTGGAGATCATTGATTAAATAAAATTAAGAAATAAAACAAAAGAGAACATCAAGATAATTTACAATTAAAAAGTATTACCTGTAGTACACCTAGCCATCGTACCGTGACCATATCTACTCCATATGTTAAATTGTTACGCCCGTGAAAATACCCACCTATAAGCATATTCCAAAAGATCAAAATCTACAGCACCAAGCTCTACTAATTAGACACAAAATATGCACATTTATCACCTTTTGCTTCAAAATTATCAAAAAGGCAAAAAAATTGGATGTTTGAAGTTTGAACTAGCATAAACATGCATAAATAACAATATTAACTGAGAGCTTGGAATTACTTTTAAGTCTTTAACGACCAAAAGGTTACTTAGTTGAGGTAAAATCCCAGATAAAATAAGAACCATCACAAAATAAGCTAAAAATCTCCCATCAAGATATCCCAAAATTACATGAGTTGTGGATCACTCCAGTCTAGACTTGTAAGAAAGTGATAAAACAGTGACTTGTCAAGAATACAATAGGCAAAAGTGGCAACCTTGCAGAAACAAGCCCAGCAGAAAGAGCTTGATGGTCCTCAATATGACTTTCTTTGTAGCCAAAGGTTTGCTCGAAGTTTTCTGCATTGTGAAACAAATAATGACCATATGTAATTATTTTGACATGCTTCCACAGTTGGTTCTTTATATTATGAAGATATATGCATGCTTGTGTGCATTGTCTGCAGAATGCATATTTGTTTTTACTGTTAACTGGGCATTAAACACAGCTAGAAGCTTTCGTTAGTCCATGCAAAAGAACAAAAGTTAATCAAAATAGTAGTATGAAAAAAAAAGTGATAGTAGAACAAGATAAAAACTAATACTGCATACAAATTTAAAGTTCATATGTGCTAGAGGACTTCACAATAATACTTTCAACATCATAAGACAAGACTTTAGGAGAAGAATTAAATAAACAGTAAAATGTCAATTATGGTGTGCTCAATTGCACACCTATAACTTCATTAAACAACACTGCCCCATAAGATTCAGTTCTAAGCTTGCGAACTTTGCATACCTTAAAGACCAGGCTAATAGAGACCCCAACACCAAAAAGAAAAAATGGCATCACAAAATCGGCAATAGTCAGGCCGAACCATGGAGCATGATTGATAGATGGAAAAGCCCCTCCAGCATCATCAACCAAAATCATCAACTATAAAAGCAATATTGAGCATTGAGTGGAAAGGAAAAGTAATAGTAAAATCATAATCACATAATAAAGAAAAAATGTCACATTATTGTACCCTCGGCTCCTTAATCAACTAAACAATAACATATGCCGAAAAAGAAAAACTAGGATCAGCCAAAAAGGGCAAAAAAGTCCAACAAATGCATTAAAATAAACTATTAAAATTCGTAATCAGTAAAATATAGAATCATATTCAGAAAGCTCATTCAAAATTCTCAAAAAATGCAAAACTTCAAATGCTAAAACTTTCCACATGTGTCTTCGATTCCATTATTATTCGACGCCCTCCCCATGATGATGATAATGATGATGATGATTATAATAATAATAATTGTTTTTCCTACCCAAACTGCTGCTAATTTATCACAGTGCTTTTCTACTAAATACAACTCATATTGCTATAACTGTTTCAAAAAAATCCTAAGAACAACTGGCACACCAAATATGAATAATACTTCGGCCAAAATTGAATAATAGGTTTCTTTTAGGGAGCATACCGCGACGGTGAGGCCACGGAATACGTCGAGAGATAGAAGCCGTTGACCAGAGTCGTTGAGAGTAAGTTTAAGAGCATCTGGTTCGATGGATGATGAGGAAGCGACTATCTCTTCTTCGTTTCCATGGGTACGAGGATTGTGGAGAAGAGGTTGTCGTTCTTCTTCACCTATCTCGATTAGGGTAGACATTTCTCCCGCGCTCTCTTTTCCCTTTCGGATTGCGATAGTTAAAGCTACCGTAGCTTGTACATGGGCTTGGAAGAACAGCTGGCCGCAGCGGGATGTAAATACTTTTAGATCAAGATTAAATATTATTTAATAATTTTTAGTGCATTAAAACTTCGAATTTTGAAAGTTACGAAATTATTAAAATATTTTAAAAAATATTTTCATATATTAATTTTTTTAAGATCAGAATTTAATGAAAAGTTTCAGTTGATTTTATTTGATGAATTTTGAAATATTAAAATTTTTTATTTGTATTGAAAATTGTAAAATTATTAAAATATTTTTTTAGTATTTTTTAATTTAATTTTTTTAAGATCAATTTTTCACGAAACGTTTTAAATCATATTGTTATCCTATTTAATAATTTTGTATGCATTAAAAATTTTTGCTGCATCTCGAGAAGTGTGAATTCATTGAAATATCCCTTAGAGATAATTTTGTAATTTGATTTTTTCATTATCGGATTTACACAAAAACTTTTAAATCATAATTTCATAATATTTCAAGATTTTTTATATTTTAAAATCACAAAAATGAAGAAAGAAACATTGTTTTTTTTTATAAAAAAAAAACCTAAAAACTAAAAACTTTCAATAATGGGTAAAATAGACTTTTTTTAAAAAATGCAACATTTGGCTATAAATAGTCTTGATCGTGATATGATCTTGAAGGGTTGAATCTAATGGTAAAAATTAGCTCCTTGTAAGGAAAACAAAGGAGAAAGGATAGGCATTGGATGATTTTTTAATTTAAGGGAGTGTTTGGTTTACGGAATCTTGGATTTAAAGATAAAGTGTGATACTTGTGAAAGTGTAATATCTAAGGTTTTCTTTTATTTTTAGGGCATTTTGTGTTCAAATTCACTTTTTTAGTTGAAGAAAATCTACGTATGTTAATTTTTATATAATTATTATAATCTCATTGACATATATTATGATAATTTTTTAATTTGTTTTATTAATAATAAATACTCAAACGACAAATGATACATTTAGTAGCAAAAAAAAATAAATATTTTAATTAATTATTGTTTTAATTTATAAAACATCATCAATTAAGGTGTTTGCAAACATAGACACCTCAATTAATAGGGTAAATATTATTTAGAAAAAGGATCAATTAAGGCATTCAAAGTACCAAATGCCTTAATTGATCCTTTTTAATAATTATAATTGATTTTTTGAAAATGATCAATTTGTTAAGATATTTGTCATTAGATATAAAAAAAATTATTTCATTGATCAGGGTTTAATGGTTTAGGGTATAACATTTAGGGTTTTAGAGTTTAGGGCTTAGGATTTTAATGTTTAAGATTTTATGGTTTAGAATTTTAAGGTTTTAGGGGTTAAGATTTTAGAGTTTAGGATTTTGGGTTTTAAAATTTTAGGGTTTTTCATATTTTTATAAACCTCTCCAAAAATCTCTAACATCTACAAATATATAAACCGGACAAATAATAATAATGATCAAAGGTTAAAATATTCTCTCACAAGGATTAGCTGAAAAGGCTTAGTTTAAATGCCTATTATCGTTACACCCAATCTAAAGTTGATTTATTGAAAGAAGTATACAAGAGTGAGCTAGTAATAACAAGAATAGAAAACCAAAAAATAGTAATGCAAATAACTAGAAGCAAATTCACTAAATATAAAATAACCATTCTTGAAAATTTTATCAAAACAGTAGCTAAAGTACTTTAAATTGAATCTAACATGCTTTGAATGTAAATCTAAACTAAGAAACCAAAAATAAAAAGCTCAATTAACAACTAAACAGTAGCTTTCAGGTAATAATTGAAAATAACTAACTAGTAACCGAATTAACCACCTCCTAACTTCCACATGAAATTAGATCTAAAAACTTCCTAAAACTTAATCCAAACAATTTCTAAATTTCAAGAACAGTAAGTAAGCAAAGATAAAAACATAATTGAGGAACAATAAAAGGATCAAATTCGCAAAATCAACAATAAGAATTCAAATCGAAACAAAAATTTCAAATATGAAAAAATCAAAATTTAAGAGAAAAATATAGATCTACACTTCTATAGATCAAATGAACTGGAAGTAAAATAGATCTACAAAATTACTATCTAAATAAACAAATAAATCACAATAAACAACACAAAATCAAGCTCAATGAACTTGATCTAAAATTGTACGTAGTGAAGAACAAAAACAAACCAGTTAAGCAAAATGTAACCAACAGAATTGGACAACATGAAATTTAAGGGAAGAAAATGAATCTAAGAAAAAAAACACATGAATTAAGAAGTGCAAAGTAAGAAAACAGTGGATTGATTGCCTAGCTTGGAAAGAGAATTTTCAAGTGCTGTCACTCACTCTAGCTTCAACTTTACTACTAGATCTAACTGAAACTTTCTAGAATTTTTTGAAAATTTGTAAAATGAATTTGAGTGTGATCTTTTTTAAATTTAAAGAAACATGAATCAAGAATGCATAAAAAATGGATTAGAAGTTGCAAGAATTGAATTAGATCCAATAGAAAAATCATAATTAGGTCAGATGCAAGATTAGCCAAACAAATTTGAGATTCAATGAAAATTGCATGAACTTGCATAAAAAATATAAAGAACTTGAACTTTTATTGAAAGAATCTTAAAGTTATATAAAATAAAGGCAAGAAAAGTAAATTTTGTTGGAAAATTAAAGTAATTTTCTTGCAAACAACGCTCTAAAAAAATGAGGAAACTACTTAGAAAGAAAAAAAAAAGTAAAATGCAAGAAAGTAAAAAAGAAAATTTTGAAAAAAGTCTCTCTAAATGGCCAGCCAACCCTTTTATTTATAGGCTAAGGGTGAGGTGGTTCAACCATTAAAATTGCAGGAAAATGCTAGCTAAGCTGCCACATATTCTAGAGTCTTCCAAGTCATTTATCTAACTCCTTTAGCTTATATGCTTGCTTCTTGTTACTTTACTTCAATCTTCCTTCTTTTAATCTTATAAGCTCCAAAAAGTCAGAATTATAACCAATTACAAGCCTCCACATTACCAACTATGTAGCTACCCATTGCTTCCTTTTTGAATCTAAGAATTGGGGCCAATCATCCTTGATCATCACCAATGCATCACACAGCTTGGATTAATTCCTTTGCTCTTATTTTAGAAGCCAATTGTAACTAATTCTCTTCTTCAAATTGCAACCAAATGAGGATCATTTAGTTGCCAATTTGTTTATGAAAAATTTTGGAAAATTCTAGCTCCAAATGTGGCTTTAAAATTACACTAATGCAATAGTCACCAAACTAGCACATGTAAAAATTACTACAAAAATAACAAAGCACTAGTGAGCTAAAAAAAATATTTTCTCAATAAAAATATGAAAATTAAAGCTTGAAATAAAGTTCAATTAAGCTCAAATAAGCTAAGAAAATCATGAAGAAAAAGGTAGGAAAATCTCCCAAGTATGGCATTTAAGCAAATACACACTAGTTTGGCTAAATAGAGCTTTTTGTGCCAAAATGCATCCACAATGCGTCCAAAAGTTCCAATTTTCCTCATTTTCCATATTTTTATCTACACATTTAATATTTATGAAATTAGAAATATTTTTGCCAAATTTCTCAAGGATCAAGCAAATACTCACTAGAAATTGCCTTAAAAAGGTATGATGAATCACTAAAATTTTAGTGCAATCAAACCGCCAAACTTAAGTTTTTGCTTGTCCTCAAGCAAAACAAGATTGAGCAAAAATTTTTACTAACTTCCAACTCTTCATTCATCATGAATGCCTTATGGATTGACTAATGAATATAACTGAAGCAAAATCATAAACATGGGCTAATCTACAAAAATCAACCTAGGTGATCAAAAACAAAAAAAATAAAACAAAGATCAACAAAGTGTGACCAAGTTTCATATATTTACTTATCACATCTCTCTCTACTAATGTAAATAAACATATGATCAAAGATCATTTAGGTCTTTTATAAACTTGTAATACAAGGCTAGGGTTAAGGTATGATAAAAGTCATTTGAGGCTTAAGTACCTTAATAATGCATTACTTTGTTTAGGATAATTCAATATTGAGCTTCCAAGGTGAAAAAAGGTAAGAGCTTTTCTAAAGAATCACTTTACACTTTTCTTTTTGCATACTTTTATTTTTCTTCTTTCTTTGCTATTTCACCACTTTATTATTTTTTTTTTTAGAACACAAGCTCTTTTTGCTTTCTTATTTTCTTTTTCATTCTTTTGTTTCATTCTTTTTTCAAGCTCTACTCTTCCACCCTAATAACACATAGCTCAAAGATGATGCATAAATGTCTCTATGCACTTAGGGTAAATGACCAAAAGATAAGAAATATCAAATCAAGGCTTGGGTTTATAATGTGGTTTCATAACAAGAAAAGTATTATTAGGCTAAAACAGGTTGACTATGGATGAACAAATCAAGGTTAGTTTGAAACACTCAAATAATCCAAAGATGGCTTATATTATTTCCCTAATTATGGTCCTTTAGGATTTTACCTTGAAAAATGATTAAAACAAATTCTATAACATGAAACATAACTTCAAAGATCAATGCAAAAAAAAAAAAAAAAAAGCTCATACTCACATAGTTATGCACTAGATAAAAAATGCAATTCAATTATCAAAATATTAACTCACAATTGGAAACTCATATTTAAAAAGTCACTAAACCTAAACATCATCTCATATTTCACATAATATTCAATCTTTTCCTAAAGCTATATTAATTCTCAATTTTTGCCTATCATTGGTTTGATGAAGAACAAATCAAATAAAGTATACTTATGATTCAAGTTACAACAAGTCAAGCTCAATTTCAAGGCAAAACTCAAGGAAAATTCGACAACTTTTGCAAAAATTTTGAGTGATTTTTTCATACCCTCAAACTTAAAGAACACATTGTTTTTAATGTGTAAACAAAAAGAAATAGATCACATAAGAAGAACATAGGAACTTTCATATCATCTTGAAAACATGGTGATCGAATGTAAAGTGCAAGTAGCTGAAGCATGTGCTATTGGCTTTAAGCTTTTATTCACCAACAAAAAAAAAAAAAGCCTACAACAAGAACAAACATCAA